TCATGACTAAATTTGAAACTTCCATTTCCAAATGATCTGGACTGGCGTTATTTTGATGTGGTTGAGCATGGAAATTGGAGGTACTTATTTGTGATGTTGTTCTACCAGTCAAAGAACAATATAAAGCCAAAGTTACTTTCATCATATCATGAGAATGGATTAAGACTGAAGATGATCTTAAGTGTACCACAAGGAAGCCAGAAAGAGACTTTTTTAATCAGAACTGTCTCAGATTAAAGCAATTTGTGTCTGAATAAACTTTAAAAAAAGTGGCTCTGCAATATCCTTATCTCAAACTGAATGGAAATATTTATCAGTTCTGCAAATCATATGTAGCTCAAAGGTGTTATACTGGACAGAGTTGATTATAATACCATGAAGTAGCTCCTTCAATGCATGGCTCAGGATCGCTTGTGAGGAGACAGTTTTCTCAGAGCCCACAGTACCATGCAAGACTGAATCAGGGCACCTTAACGATCATCTGCCTTGTGTCACTTAGGTCTGATGCTGAATAGGTTGTCACAATTTCAGCCTTTTTTGTAACATGTCAGATATTTCTCTCAAGTTCTGAATTGGTAATGGCTCTGCAGGATTGTAGCTTTGAAATGAGGCTGCTGGCTGATATTTCAAGTGAGATGCTCAAAGATTGAGTACAATATTGAACAAAAATCAACCTGAAAATCAAATATTTTTCATCAGGCAAATTTTGGAGGTATCCATTGCTTAGCATTGACCCTGAGTTCTGTCAAACATGTTACTACATCATTTTAGGAGAATGGTAGCTTGATTTTAATCATGCTAGATTATTTAAGCTTGCAAGTTTTGGATTTAAGTGTTGATCTGAGTCACTGGATTCTGCAATTGGGAATAGCCCTTAAGAATTTTAAAGTGCACTTTTTTCACCCAGAATATCTCTTAAATGTGCATTTTGTTTATTTATTTGTAATGATTAACCTTGAATAAGATTCTTTCCTTTGTAACAGGATACGTTTGATGTACGCATTCTGATGGCCAAACCTGTGACACATACTGTAAATTTTCTTAGTGCCGCTGAAGAAGATTTGCACAGGTAGTCAAAGATAACAAGATCACAATCTAAAAATTGTAGTAGCTAAAATTAACATCTTAGTTTGTAAGTGTTATTCTCAGTTGATAAGATTTGACATGCCGTTGTGGGAAATTCTTTGAAAGTTGCTTGTATCGGATCAATATCAGTATCTGGGCAACTGCCCACCTACCCCTCCCCTAACCCAACAACAGTCAATTGATGACAAGTTAGGGTTAATGTTGGGTTAGGGGAGGGGTAGGTGGGCAGTTGCCCAGATACTGATATTGATCCCTTGTATCAAGCTAAGATGTTGCATGTCCTGTAACAATTCATACACACAACATAGGTATAACATCTCTGTTACAGGCAAATTTACAATTCAAAGACCAACATCTCTGTGTGATTTATATTGGTTGAATTTGGCTTATGCACTTCATAGAGGTGCTTGGGTATTGCCACAGACTTGCAAGGTATACTTATAATTATTTTAGTTCTGAGAAGTATGATATTTTTCATTTTGCAGAATAGAAATTCCCCTACATTTCACATTGCACACTTCAGGAACAGTTCATGGCCTCGCTTTCTGGTTTGATGTTTCATTTCAAGGAAGCAAGTGAGTGCAGTACCTAAAGCTGTGTCCATAATGTATACAGACATACTGTATTTGAGGATATGAAAGAGGTCTTCTGATATACTTGCACTTAGATCCCCTGACATGCACAGGGCTGGTGTACATGACTTGTTCATGTCAATGAAGGGTTTTTAGTCATTCTTCCCCTCCAGACATGTTTAATTTATGGATCGTCAGGAACTGAAAATTAGAAAATGGTCACCAGAAATAACATTTCAGCTGACAGTGATGGGTGATCATTTCTCTAAAGGGCTTAGCTGACATATCATGACGTAACACCCCTACTCAAGGGAGGAAGAGGCAAAGGATGAATGCAAATGGTCATTTTGACTTTAGATCAAGACAATTCAAGAATAAAAATCTTACAGCTTGATATAAAACTTAACAACAGAACAAAGATTGACAATGTACATGTAGCAAGTTGGCTGAAAATTTAAATTGGAATTTTCAAAAGGGTTGTAGTACATAGCAGTGTGAGATTCAAACAAATGAATTTTTGTCTTTAGCTCAATGCAAACCACTATTGATTTTAATTCCTTTTGTTAAGATTGCAGTATACACATAACACAGTAATTATTTTTGTTAATTACTTACATCACAGTGTTCCAGTATGGCTCTCTACAGCACCACAAGAGCCACTCACTCATTGGTACCAGGTATATATATATGAAGTTAATTACCCTCCATAAATCCTCAGCTATCCACAACTACACTGCACCAATTATGAGAGAGAAACAATCACAAATTAATGAAGGCTAACTCTTGTTCTTGCCTTGGGGACAAACTGTCATTGAAGACACCCAACACTCAAAATGCAAAGAAATGTTTAAAAACAAAACTGTAGCTTTCACAGAATTTCAGGCACTTCATGTGATTCCCAAGATCCATTTTTATTGTTTTAAGTGTTTTGACTATATTTTAGAACTACAAAATTAAAAGAGAAACCAGAAATTTAGAAAGATCATTGACATATTTAGTGCTTGTTAAACGTTACAACCCAGAAACTGGGTCCCTTATATAATCTCTCAGTATTGCAAATTCTAAAACACCTGACTGTGACTTTTAAAAAATTTTAAAAACTTGATAACTCAAGCCTGAACCTAAACCTAATGCTAACCCTAAGATAATTTAACCAAGAACTTATTGGGTTGAAAGAGGGGAGACTAGACACTTTTGAGTCTTAACATATATAGAAGGATTTTTTTTTTATTAGATCTAGGCTTTGCTTAATTGTGGTTTGATTTTATGGTAGAATATTTTTATTTTTCTTGTTGGTAATTCTCTTGACTTTTGAACTTTGCAGGTTCGATGTCTTCTCCGCACCCCAATATTTGCAAAAGTTGGACAGGCATTATCTGGGGTAGTTCTTCTCATCTCCAACAGGAGGTAATTGCTAACAAAAGCCTGTAAAGAGTTGCAGGATTTTCCACAAGAACTCATTCCACAGTGACAGTCAGTTCCAACTTTGTAATTGGATGCTCAGTAAACTGAGCATCAGAGAACTCATGTGTTGATAAGCTAGTATCTCAGACTGAATTAGAAGAATTAAATAACTTCAACTTTATCAGAGATGGAATTTAAACTCAAAACTAGTTGCATGTGTTAAGGATGATGCAATTATATTTCTCTCATTCAATGGTTAACACCAGAAATCCTGGAATATACCACTCATTTTAAATTTGCCTCTTGTCAAAGCATTTTTTTTTTACTTCCTAATTATTATTATTATTATTATTATTTTTATTATTATTATTATTATTATTTTTATTATTATTATTATTATTATTTACTAGTACATTGAACCATTTAGTCTCTTTTTATGACTACTGCCTCCTGTGGAGGCAAAGTCATGATGTTGTTTTCCTTAAGGACCACCACCATGCTGATATTCGCTCTTATTTCATAGACAGAGCTATGATGTAGAAATTGAGCTTTCACTGGATGGGACAAAGGTCAGGTCCACAAACACACTAGACCTGAAAAACCCTTACTTCCGCTACACTGGCACCCAGACTCCTATTCCTGCAGGGTGCAACACTGTCTCCCCAACAGAGCTGTACTGGAACATGGTCAGCTCTGCAGGAACTGGTGCAAATGTTGGTGCTGAGAATGGCTTGGACGCTGGTTGTGGTGCAGGAATTATGGGTAATGGACTTGTGGTCAATGCAGTGGGAGCTTATAGTGGAGGTAATGAAAGTGAAATGTTGTTACAATCAGTGGACTCCAGTTGTGTCTAACCCATAAACAGGTTAAGAGTAGGAGCTGACTTAAAAAATTGTCAAAAAACATACCTGAGTGAAGTATCTTAACTTAGTACATAACAATTAGCCAGACAGCTTGGCAGAAAGGATGATATAACTATGTATGTACCTACCCATACCTCTTCTCCCCCCTCCTGCCCCTAACTACTAAAAAAAAAAGAAGGACAATAACAGAGAGGAACTTGACCAAGCTAGAACTTGGCTGGATGGTGTGGCTGGCCATCATAGGTAATTCTTACAGTGTTCTTGAAAGTTTGCTGGTAGCCACTAATAGTTGTATTGCATATGAGAAAGCAAGGATTCACACACTGCACCCTGACCCAGCTTCTTGCTAAACTTGAGTTAACTATCTTTGGGTAAATCAAACTTATGACTGTTTTTTTTTTTTTTTCATTTGGCAGGAGGCATTTTAGGTGCTACACCCTATGCCTTGGGGGGAATTCCAAGTGGTCTGCCAATAGTCAGTGCTGTTCCTAATGCATCCACTATTGAAGGAAGCTCCAGTCATTATGTTGGCAGCAGATATGTAGTGGGCAACCAAGCCGCTATAATACCTGGTTACACTGGGACAAGTTGTGGTGAATATGTCACCAGTAGGGGATCTCAACATGCAATGGTGTACTCCAGATAAACTGGGGCTTTTTCCTGTATCAACTAGTCCACCATGAATGTAAATAAATTGAAATGTGCTGGTTTTTTTTTTTAAACGGAGGCAAATCACTTTGCCATCCAGCAGACATTGTGTGCTTGTATGTGGTGATCGTATGGAAGGAAGTCATTCTCCTCTGGCCTATGAACATGTGGCGAACCAATTAAGTATTGGGTAACTTTAAGATGGCATAGTTGTAAATGGATACATGGAAATGGAAGATGGTACAGCTGCACTTGCCTGCCTGGTGCTTAGTTTAAGATTTAATAATCAGATCTTGCTTCACAGACTTCTTGGATTGTCTTTACATATCATTATCATACAAGTGTATTGAATGGCTGTGCACGGACTGTTTTAGTCATTAAGGATACTAAGTGAAGTCTCCTTCTGGACTGTTTTTTCATTCAGCTAAATGCTTTAAAATATATTATCAATGAAAATAGCTAAGACATCCTAATTATTAACTTCACTTCAGTGGTATCATGGTTCTCCTTTAAATCAAAAGATCAAATGAGGATGATTCACTGGTGGCAGGAGTGGCCTAAGGTACATGAAGCCTCTTCAATTCTAAATGATGACTCAAGAAGAGGGGACATATTTTTTCATGGCTTGTCAAGATTTTGAGTATTGTACATTAGTGAGAGCTTGGTTTTTAATGAGTGATAATATGGGTAAACAAATGCTATGCTGTTTGTGGTGGTCAGTTTAGCAATGTTAAGAGAAATATTGGATAAGAGTGCACTGCAGGTGTGATACATTGTACACAAAGTACAACCTGATTGGTAAACATTGTTTGACACAACAACACATCCTTACAGCATGTTAAAAACTGGTCTTAAGATAGACCATGAGCGGTTCTTACTTGTTGGCAAAAATCTGTCGTCTGAGTCAGAGAAAACATTGAAAAATAAAATTGATATTAGTACACTAGTCAGAACTCAGGAGGATTTCCACTTTGTGTACATACATTAATTTTTTGTTTTCACTTTTTTTTTAACCTGCGTGACTGAATTTGCCAAAAAGGAAGGACGGCTCGTAGACTCGATTCAAGAGAATTCCAATGAAATCTTTTTGCATGTTTTTTTTGTTTTGTTTTGTTTTTTTCTAATTAGGAAATATTAGTGTGTTGTATGTAACTACTTAACAGACTTGCGTTACATCTCTGACAGCAATCTACAAGCTGCCTTGTTGAATTATTTGTTATAGATAAGTTATTGATGAAGCCTGTTATGAATAATGATTATATTCTAAGAAAAGTTAGGCCATACATTGTATCTTTGCACCAGGGTCTACCTTATGTTGAGTGTTGTGAGTATACCGCATCAATTTTTAAGACCTGTACAAAATAAATACAATTCAGTTTCATTTTAGCTTTAATGAATGGCTGAAGGAAAATCAGTTGGTTACGAATCCTTTCACCCTCACATCAGTATCCATATTTTATGTACTGTTGTATCTTATGCTCTTTTAAATTAATTCTTGGTTTTCCACCGCATGAAAAGTTTAGAAAATATTCAATAAAAATGGAATTACGGCTTTCAATTTCATAAAGACTGCAATGCAGTCAAGGCCTAAAAAAAAGCCAAAGAAACGAGGACAGTCCTGTGTCCACGAGTTGTGCTGCAGTGGCGAGCAGTGATTACCAGCCGTGATCCAACGTCATTTCACGGTTGTGGAAAATGCGTCATTAATTCAACACGCCAATATAAATTTGCATAATACACAAATAGGAAGCTTAGATAACAGGGCTGAACCATATTCACCATAAATTATTTGCGGTATGCCACAAGTTTTGAAAAATCTGACAAAAGTCTAAAAACTCTACTACTTATTATCGAAGTGCTTAACTTAGTACTAATAAACAACAGGCGTGTTGCTCTTCAGTGAAACCGAGGTTTTTAGAGGAATTAAGTTTCTTGTTTCGTTCGTAAAAAAAGCAGGCGTACTTGGTTGTCTCGTACAATCGGTTAGTGTTTCACCGGCTGAGCAGCGCCGACAGCGGGAGGCATCGCACCGGCTTGAGCTTATCCTTGAGGAGGGGGATGCTGAGTTGAAGGCGGAGGGTAGCTTGGGTAAGGCGGAGGAGGCTGATTGTGTCCCGAAGGAGGCTGTAGGTAACCTGGAAGTGGCTGGTTGTAGTTGACCGGCGGAGGAGCTTGTATTTGCTGCGTCATTATCATATGGGTATGATTTGATACGTACGGTTGATAAAGCTGTGGGGTGACGACCACAGTGCCGGCTGTACGATAGCGGTAGTATGGGCAACAAGCACAGCAGCAGCAGGATGCAATGGAAATGATTATGGCGAAGAAAATTATTGTACCAATGATACCGCCTGCAATGGATCCAGCATGCGAAACACATGAATAGGTGCATTCGTGATTACAACATTCTTCGCCTGTACCACATTGATAGTTGTACGTGCAGTAGTAACAATTGTCTCTACAGACGTTATCTGAACAACAGGTTTCACTCAACACACAATCGCTCGAGTCACTACAGTACGTAGCACTTCCCAAACTAAAGAGACAGACGAAAATGACGCAAGAGAATTCTTTCGACGCCATGACGAATGCAAAACTTTACAGACAGCAAATACCTCAACCAGTTAATAATATGCATGTACATATTTAAATTTCAGCATGCTCATTTGGTTAGAACATGTCAATTAAACCTGCTCAGTGTAGAAAGCTAAGATTGAGCGCAAAAAGTTGAAATTGAATGCAAATATTTTAAATTAAAATTTATTGATGGGAGAGTCGCGAAAGCACAAGAAACTCAAAGTGGTGGACAGGTTAGGGGATAGTAAAAGGATTCTCATGGGGTGATGGCTTTTACAACTAACGGTTAAAATTTCAGACATGGTTTGATGCTACTCTGGTTTACAGATTTAATGAATGTAACCGAGAAGTTACAGTTCACAGACCAGACGTTTTGACACTCCTGTCTAGTACCTTCATCAGAAGACCGCTTTTTGATGCTCTTTCAAACGTGTACCAAACTGACGTTTGGTCTGTCCGATGTACTCGTTACCACATTCACTGCACGGAATAGAGTCAATAGCGTCGGTTCGTTGTTGTTGTTGTCTTTTTTTTTGTGACAGGATCCTTAGGTTTGGCAAAAATATGCCCCAAAGTCTGAAAAGCTTTTTGAGCAGCTTTAACGTTGTGGCTATTCAAAATTCTCTTGATAGGTTCCGTAACACCCTGAATGTAAGGAATAACAGCAAAACCAGTCGCTGGTTTCCTCTCATCAGGAGTGCTACTTGTTGTGATGTTGTAAATGGTTTTCAGCATTTACGGAGAAAATTTTTAGTACTGCCACTCGCCTTTGGGACATTAGAAACATATTTCCTTCCCTCAGCCTTCGAATGGAGTGAAGATGGCAGACAGTCAGCCCTCCTGAGTAAAATTTTGGCTACAGACTTTCTATGGCAAATAGGGTGGTGAGCATTTGTCGGTGTGGGTAGGTTTACGATAGACACTTGTCTCTAAATTACCCTGTTCCCTTCTGTGCACACTTAAATCAAGGGCAAATGTCTATCCTTTTCACGCTCAAGGGTGAATTGGAAAGACGGCTCTATTGAATTCAAGTGCGATAGGAGGCGTTCCGCTTCATTTCCACTTCATACTGCAGAAGTAACATCATCGACATTTCGTCTCCAGAAAAAGGGTTTAACCGGTGAAATGGCTAAGGCTCTTTGCTCCACGTCTTCCATTACCATGTTTGCAATGACAGCAGAGACGAGCGAACGCCTTCTATCGCGCTTGCATTCAGTAGAGCCAGTACATTTCTTAAGCTGATGACAAAGAGAATTTGAATAATGAACAATCAACAGCTTCTTCAGTTGGTGATCATTTCCTCTATTCTCACGACCTTAATGTTTGGCTTAGGGGTGACATTCTAAGGAGAAATTAGATGCTAGTCACCCTTAGGGACAAGGTCTTACCTTGAATGGCTGAAGAAAAAATCAGTTGGTTATCAACCCTTAACGCCTTCAGATCAGTATCCATATTCCCTGTACTGTTATCTATACATTTCCTGTGGTGATGACAAAGAGAATTCATTTAACATTCAAAGCTTCTTAGGTTGGTTCATGTCCCTTATTCTTATGATCTTCATGAATGATTCAGCTGTACTACTGTGAGGGGAAACTAGATACTAGTCCCTTTCGGTTAGAAGGGTTCATTAGGGATAATGGACGATCGCTACGCAGAGCATTGGAGAAAGGTGTAAATGAAGCCTTCTCTTGATTTCTGAGGACTCTCTCCAAAGTAATCATGCAGGATAATATTTTATATTACTAGCACACTATGTTCATTTGAGAATTGTTGGGTCAAGATGTAGGAGAATTTACAAGGAGATCTTTTTCACAGGATGCTTTATTCATATGAATGTTTACAGACAGGTTATGGTGATTGAAATGTTCCGATTTTTTTCTTGGTGAGATTTCACATGCTCTCTATGCTTTGGTCTAAAGTTCTCTTTGAGAAGACCGGAAAGAGAGTAGTTTTCATTTCCCAAGCCTACAGAGCAGGCGTAATTTGGCGAGCGAGTTCACAATATTTTCTTAACTAAAATTATGGCCGCCATCTTTGATTTAAAGGCAGCGGAGGGCTGAGGAGAAAAAGAAATTTATACCAAAGGGGCGGTCGACGGTCGAAAATGAAAACAGGTGTGGGGGTAGAGGAACGAATGGTATTGGCCTTCACCCTTTAACTCCTGTGAGTGACCAAGACAGAATTTCTCCTTACCATATCTATGCAATATCATGCAGACAAGTGATGAGAATAAAGAAAAATATAAATTATGGGATTACCGATTGATCAGATACCAAATTCTTCAAGCTAACACAATGAGAATCGTTTGGCAAACAGTGGGGAGAATTACTAATGAGATCTTGGGTGAAAATAGGTTAAAAGAATACATCTAGGAAAAAATTTGATGACAGAGAAATCTAAAACCACGAGCCCTTATCATTTATTTTGCATAAGATACTTTTAAGATACTTTTCTACAAGTTCCTAACAATACTTCCTCGCACCAGGTACAAAAAGTCAACTTGAGTATTTGTAGCTATGCCAGCTATTTAAGATATCAAATATTTAGTATTACAAGTTGTTTAAAAAATTAAGTGTGTTACAAAGCTATTTAATCACTTTGTATTTCACCATCGGTATACTTCCAATGACCACACAGCTATTGATGACTTAAACTTTCTGTCAACCTATGCAAAGTAATTTCTCAGTGTCACTATTTAAGTCATGTTCTCAAAACTTTTTTTAGTTGTCACTCTAATTCTGACAAATGGAGAAACATAATGGTCATGTGCGAGAAAACTAATATGACACGTGATATTCTGAAATGAACTGCATAAAGGAAAAAAATCATCATAGGTTAATAAAACTCTAATAACATGAATTTCATCGCATTAAAGAGGTGAAATTGGCGTTAGATTTTAAAGATAATTACCAAGGTGAAGTGGGCTTGCGACTTAGAACTTGGTGAATCATCCTGGAGAAAGATGTTTTTCGTCTTGTCACGAGCGTGGCACAAAGATAAAATTCTGAACCCCATGAGAAATCAAAACTCAGATCTTCGGATTCCGCACTCCGACGCTCTATTATTGAACCACAGAGACTTTATAGTGAGCGAGGTCCATTACGAAGTTCATATGTACAGTTTTCATATATTGTCTGAGTAGTTTAGAAGCGACTGTTCGTAAGGGCTAAAGGTCTAAACGGCCATCTGCTTCTGAATATAATTATGTGACAAATTAAACCCTTGAACAATGGCTCATGCTCTTTTAAATTAATTCATGGTTTTCCACCACGTGAAAAGTTAAAAATATCCAATAAAAATGGAATTACGGCTTTCAATTTCAGAAAGACTGCAGTGCAGTCAAGGCCTTAAAAAACCAAAGAAACAAGGACAATCCTGTGTCCATGAGTTGTGCTGCAGTGGCGAGCAGTGATTACCATCCGTGACCTAACGTCATTTCACGGTTGTGGAGGCGTCGGAAAATGCGCCATCAATTCAACAAGCCAAATAAATTTGCACAATGAACAAATGAGAAGCTTAGATAACAGAGCTGAAGTATATTTACCATCGATTATTTGCGGTATGTCAAAAGTTTTGGAAACTCTGACAAAAGTCTAAAAACTTTACTACTTACTATTAAAGTGCTCAGCTTAAAACTAATCAACAACATACTCGTTGCTTTTCAACAAAACTTCGGTTTTAGAGGAATGAAGTTTCTTGTTTCAACGCGTTCATAAAAAAGCAGGCGTACGTGGTTGTCTCGTACAATGGGTTAGTTCCTTACCGGTTGGGCAGCACTGACAGCAACAGGCATAGCTCCGGGTTGAGTTTCTCCTTGTGGAGGGGGATGCTGAGTTAAAGGCGGTAAGTGGCCTGGGTAAGGCGGAGGAGGCTGATTGTGTCCCGAAGGAGGCTGGATGTAACCTGGAAGTGGCTGATTGTAGTTGACCGGCGGAGGAATATGTACTTGCTGCATCGTCGTCATATAGGCATGATTTGATACGTACGGTTGATAAGGCTGTGGGGTGACGACCACAGCACCGGGTGTACGATAGCGGTAGTACGGGCAACAAGCACAGCAGCAGCAGGATGCAATGGTAATGATGATGGCGAAGAAGATTATTGTACTGATAACAGCGCCTACAATAGATCCAGCGCCCAAAACACACGAAGATTTGCATTTGTTGTTACAACATTCTTCGCCTGTACCACATTGATAGTTGTACGTGCAGTAGTAACAATTGTCTCTACAGACGTTATCTGAACAACAGGTTTCACTCCAACTGCAACTGCTCGAGTAAGTGCAGTATTTAGCACTTCCCAAACTTAAGAGACAGACGAAAATGACGCAAGAAAATTCTTTCGACGCCATAATCAACGCAAAACTTTGCAGGCGGAAATACCTCAACCAATTAATAACATGCATGCACAAATTTTAATTTCAGAATGCTCATTGGCTTAGAACACGTCAATTAAATTTTGCACGGTGCATTAATTTGATCTTGAGCGCAAAAAGTTGAAAATGAATGCAGATATTTTAAATTAAAATTGACTGATGAGAGAGTCGCGAAAGCACAAGAAACTCAAAATGGCGGACAGGCAAGGGGCAAGTACAAGGGTTCCAATGAGGCGATGGCTTTTAAGGTTAACGGTTAAAATTTATTTATGTTCTTTTTGACAGAAAAAACTTTTTCGGTTAACCTTCTTTGAGACAAATGGCTGAAATCTATCAATTTTTACACGTAACGGCTAATATTCTACCGTTATACGACTAACGGCAAAAGAAACGGTTAATATTCTCTTGGCTAACGTTTACCCCAAATGAGACCCTCCGTCCCAACGTTCTAATTTATAGTTGGAGGAATAATGTAAAGGAAAAAAAACACCCAACACTGCACCAACCACTGGCTAATAGTCTGGAAGTCTTGGGCTTCAAAAAAGAGCTTGTATTTCGAAGCTCTGAACCGAAATTCGTAAGAAGTTACATGCAACACTGAATTCGTAAGAAAGACGGGGAAGATTATGAGATCTTATGACCCTGATGGCCTCCGTGTAATGGTTACTGGCATTGACAGGTATCTAGTAGAGAATAGGTGAAAACTTTCGATTATGCGTGACAGAGAGTTTTAAGCCTCGAAACAATTTTTTGAGGGAAAAGCCCGACTACTCCGGCATCAAAGAAAAATCGGCGGCCGAGAAAGTGAGCCATTTAGCAATCAATGCTAAGCAGATCATAGGAGAAAGGTGTGAAAGCCTTCTCTAGATTTCTAGGGACTCTCTCCAAAGTAAACATGCAGGATAATATTTTATAATACTAGTACACGATGTTAATTTGAGAAATGTTGGGTTAAGAGAATTTAGAACGAGATCTTGGTCACAGGATACTTTATTTATCTGAATGTTTTCAAAACAGGTTGTGATGATTGAAATGTTTCAAATTTTTGCTTGGTGGGATTTCTCATGCTCTCTCTGTTGTGGTCTAAATTTCTCTTTGAGAAGACAGGGAAGAGCGGGAGTTTTCATTTCCAAAGCCTGAAGGGCAGGCATAATTTTGGCGAACGAGTGCTCAGTATTTTCTTAACGAAAATTATGGCTGCCATCTTTGATTTTAATGGCAACGGAAGGCTGGGAGAAAAAGACATTTATATTACGGTTTGCGGTCGACGGTCAAAAATAAGGAGAGGTGTGGGGTTGGAGGAGTGAATGGTATTGGCATTCACCCTTTAACTCCTGTGAGTGACCGAGACAGAATTTCTCCTTACTATATCTTTGCAATATCATGCAGACAAGTGATGAGAATATAGAAAAATATCAATAAATTATGGGATTACTAATTGATCCGATATCAAAACTCCAAGCTAACACAATGAGAATCTTTTGGCAGGCAGTAAGGAGAATTACTAATGAAATCTTGGGAGTAATGGACGGACCATTACTTTTCTGGAATGGGAGCATGGGAGATATTCTTCTGCAAAATTTATTTTTTTACATATACGTCTCCGCAAACATTTTTTTTCCAACATCTTCGTGCAAACAATTTTTTTTTAAATTTTTTAATTGCCACGATAAATTCCCATTTTTTCAAGAAATATTCAACTATTAAAATAGAGTGATCACTTTTTAGTGCCCAAATTGTGTCAATTTTTATACCAATGCTTCAATTTGTTACTTTTTTTTTTCATTTCAGTGTTGGTGATAATATATTTTAATATCTAACCTGATTTCTCTGCTAAACATTTTTTTTAACCCTATCACGTTTGCAAACAATTTATTTTGTCTTTTCCGACTCTGCGAACAAGATTTCTCACAACCTCTCTCCAGAAAAATAATGGCCCGTCCCTAAAAGGTTTAAGAAATTACATCAAAAATAAAATTTGATGACAGAAGAATCTAAAACCACGAGCCCTTATCCTTTATTTTGCACAAGATGCTTATTTTTCTACAATATTCTAAGAATGCTTTCTCGTACCAGGTACAGAAAGTCAACTTGAGTATTTGTAGATACACCAGCTATTTAAGATATCAAATATTCAGTATTACAAATTGTTTTAAAATGAAGTGTGTTACAAAGCTATTTAATCACTTTGTATTTCACCTTCTGTATACTTCCAATGACCACACAGCTATTGATGACTTAAACTTTCTGTGAACCAACACAAAGTAGTTTCTCAGTGTCACTATTTAAGTCATGTTATTAAAAATTTTTGAAGTCGTCACTCTAATTCTGACAAATGGAGACACATTTGGTAATGTGCAAGAAAATATCAGAAGAAATATGACATATGATATTCTGAAATGAACTGCTTAAATGAAAAAAACATCATAGATTGATGAAACTCCAATGACATGAATTTAACCGCATTTAAGAGATTAGATTGACACTAGATTTCAAAAATAATCGCTAAGGTGAGGTGAGCTTGCGACTTAGAGCTTGGTGAATCATCCTGGAGAAAGATGTTTTTCGTCTTGTCACGAGCGTGGCACAAAGATAAAATTCTGAACCCCATGAGGAATCGAAACTCAGATCTTCGGATTCCGCGCTCCGACGCTCTACTATTGAGCAGCAGAGACTTTATGATGAGCGAGGCCCAATACGAAGTTCATATATACGGTTTTCATATATTTTTTGAGTATTTTAGAAGCGACTGTTCGTAGGGGGCTAAAAGTCTAAACGGTCATCTGCCCCTAAATATGATTATGTGACAAATTAAACCCTTAAACAATGGCACCTTACGCTCTTTTAGAATAACTTTTGGTTTTCCACCACATGAAAAGTTAAAAAATATCTAATGAAAATGGAATTACTTGTTTCATTTTCAGAAAGACTTCAATGCAGTTAAGGCCTAAAAAAACGAAAGAAACAAGGACAATTCTATGTCCACGAGTTATGCTGCGATGGCGAGCAGTGATGACCATCCGTGACCGAACGTCATTTCACGGTTGTGGAGGCGTCGGAAAATGTGCCATTAATTCAACAAGCCAATACAAATTTGCACATTACACAAATGAGGAGCTTAGATAACAGAGCTGAACCATAATTACCATAAATTATTTGCGGTATGCCAAAAGTTTTTAAAGCTATTTCAGTGAAAAATCTTACCAAATTCTAGAAACTTTACTACTAATTGTTACAATACTTAGCTTAAAACTAATCAGCAATAGTCGTTTTGCTTTTCAACGAAACGGAGGTTTTATAGGAATGAAGTTTCTTGTTTCAAAGCATTCATAAAAAAGCGGGCGCACGTGGTTGTCTCGTACAAAGGGTTAGTACTTCCTTGGTTGGGCAGCGCTGAGAACAGCAGGCATCGCTCCGGCTTGAGCTTGTCCTTGAGGAGGGGGATGCTGAGTTGAAGGTGGAGGGTAGCTTGGGTAAGGTGGAGGAGGCTGGTTGTAGTTGACCGGCGGAGGAGCCTGTACTTGCTGCGTCATCGCCACATGGGTATGAGTTGAGACGAAGGGTTGATAAGGCTGTTGGGTGACGACCACAGCACCGGGTGTACGATAGCGGTAGTACGGGCAACAAGCACAGTAGAAGCAGGATACGATGGAAATGATGATGGCGAAGAAGATAATTGTACCGATAATAGCGCCTGCAATAGACCCAGCGCCCCAAACACACGAATACGTGCATTCGTTGTTACAACATACTTCGTCCGAACCACATTCACTACTGTGCGTGCAATAGTAACACCTCTCTCTACAGACGTTGTCTGAACAACAGGTTTTACTCCACCCACAATCGCTCGAGTAACTGCAGTATGTAGCACTTCCCAAACTAAAGAGAAAGACGAAAAGGACGCAAGAAATTTCTTTCGACGCCATGATCAACGCGGAACTTTACTGGCGGAAATACCTCAACCAATTAATAATATGCATGCACATATTTTAACTTCAGCATGCTCATTCTCTTAGAGCACGTAATTTTAATTTAAATAGAAAGTTGATATTGAGCGAAAAAATTTTGAATTGAAAGCAGATATCTCGATTCGATGAAAGATTCGCGAAAGTATAAGAAACTCAAAATGGCGGACAGTTTAGGGGCAAATTAAAGATTAAGATTGAGGAAAAAGCCTGACGACTCCGGCAACAAACGAAATCAGCGACCGAGACAGTGAACCTTTACACGAAGTAAACACGACTAAAAATAGCAGGAAAAAAGAGTGAAATTCTTGCATATATATTATCATGATGTAATCAAAAATTGTTTTAAGCAAAAATGTTACGAGTTCCAAAGCTATTTGATAACAAGAAACGCAAGAAAAATCCTGCATGCATGAGCTGTATTATAGTGGCAATCCGTGAACATTTTACGGAGTGGAGACATGAAATGTCCTTGGTGAGACACGAAGCCATTATTGATTATAGAATTATTAAGTTTGGACTACACAGAATAACAAAAAGAGATGCCTAGATAACGGTGGTGAATTATATTTACCGTAAAAACTTGCAGATTGGACACAAGGTTTTTGACAATATTACAAAAGTTTAGACTGAAACCATAATTATAATTATTTGAAGTATTTTTATTCAAACTCGACAATATGCATGTTGTATTTTGACATTACCGAGTTTTGGAAAAAATCCACAAATGTTTCATAACATGAGGCTAGTTATCTCGTTAAACGGGTTAGTACTTGGCCGGTTAGTCAGCTCTGACAAAAGCAGGCATCCATCGCACAGTGTTCCGCTTGGAGAAGTTATCTCACATATTACTTTACTTAGAACCTGTTCGTTTGCTCGGTTACTGCAGCAGGCATCGGCCCCGCTTGAGTTTGTCCTGGCGGTGGAGGATTCTGGTTTAATGGCGGAAGATAGGTTGAGTAAGGCGGAGGAGCCTGGTTGAAACCTGGAGGAGGCTGATTGTAGTTGACCGGCGGAGGAGCTTGTACTTGCTGCGTTATTGTCGTGTGTGTATTAGTTGAGACGAACGGTTGATAAGGCTGTCGGCTGACGACCAAAACACCGGGTGTACGATAGCGGCGGTAGCACGGGCAGCTAGCACAGCAGAAGCAGGATACAATGGCGATGATGATGGCGAAGAAAAATGCACAAGTTGTGCCGACAATAACACCTGTAATAGCCTCGGCGCTCAATCCACATGAATATTTGCATTCGTTATTGCAACACTGTTCGCCACTGCCACATTCAAAGTTGTACGTACAGTAGGAACAAATCGCTCTGCAGACGTTATCCGAACAACAGGTTTCACCTTCCACCACACAATCGCTCGACTCAGTGCAGTATTCAGCACTTCCCAAACCAAAGAGACAGATGAAAAGAACACAACAAATTTCTTTCGGCGCCATGATGATCAACACGGAACTTCACTAACGGCTAATATCTGAATTAATTAATTATATGTTTGCAGAAATTTCTGTATGCTCATTGGACGAGAAAACGCCAAGATATAAACCTAAACAGTGCAGACAGTTTATATTGTTGAGCGCAATAAGTTGAGTGTAGAATATTTAAATTAAAATTGATCAATAGTGGAGTCGAAGTCTTACGTGCAGTATAGGAACAAATCCTCATACATGAACATCAGGTCTCATTATCCAGCAAACAATCACTCAAGTCACTGCAGTATTCAGTGCTTTCCAAGTTAAAGAGGCAAACGAAAATTTTATCAACACAGAAGTTTATTCAGGTTGGAAATGTCTGAACAAAAAAGTTGAGCTATGAAGCGTGATCATTCGATTCAGCGTGGTTGGCTGATTGCCAAATCCATTAAGGACCTTTCATTATTTATGACCAGGGGTGGTCTGAGGATTTTGGTCGATTCACAATAAAGTCCACTTGATTCCCTCCCCTCTCTTCCTCCTCCCCTGAAGAAATGTAATATCATAGTGATCTTCTTTTGTTGGAGGTAAATTTTCTGTAGCACCCCCTTATACTCTGTTCGCAAAGACTGTTCTCACTCTGTTCCCTTCCCAAAATATTAACTTCTTAAGCCTAACCCAACCCCCCTCCCCCCGGGAGGAGTAGAAAATGAGAGAAATGACGTATAATTTCGGCTATAAGTATTAAGATTATAAGTATCCCGCATAGATTCGATTTAGCGCTCTCGTTCCAATAAGCGCCCCTTTTCTATTTCAGCGATAGCACTTTTAGAGTACATTTACATTAAGTTCAACTCGTGGTTCATTTTTCCTTTTCAAAATTACTTACCAAGTCTCACTACAAAAACATAGGCCCCGTCTCAGTTTCGCAACTTAAATGTCCACGTGAATGCACAGTTTCCTCAAATGAATGATCTCGTCTGAAGGCGATTAATTACTTATCTGGCCGTTCTAGCCAGGAAGGATCAAAGGACTACAAGTCCGTTTTCTGCTGTTTCTCAAAAAAAAAAAAAATGAACGCCCTGTTTCGATTAAACGCCCTCCCCTGAGGTACCAAAAGTAAATAAGGGCCCGGGCCCTAAATCGAATCATTACGGTCTGAGTATAGGAAATACAAACGGTTCGAGATAAGTTTTTTTATGACTTCGATCGCGAAAAATCATGCACTCTTTTAGTCTGACCTTAGTTTAGTTTTTAATTGGTTTTTAAGGCAAGTTCTCCATGTCTGTCTACTTGTTTTCGCGTAAGCTAATCATGTCTCACAAAAAAATTTCAAACAATTGCCCAAAGAATTGTCTTAACTCATTCATCCTTGAAATGGTTGTATGCCATTACTGACGCAGACATACAGCTATATATTGATGGTTATTGCTAGTCAGAGAAAAATATGGTCTGGTTTTTGGGATTAAGCACTAGCAACCTGGATAGTCCACTACGTTTATAGATTTTTGTGCTAAATGTGACAGCTAATATACTTGAAATTCGCACAGAGAGACGGGATAGAAAAAAAACACCCATTAGGCATTACTGGTCAGCTAATTCATCTCCAGCCACTTTGTTTATGTTTAGTATAATGTCAAGATTCGCAAAGCGTCGAAAATTATGCCAACTTTCATGTGCCTAACAAATATGAAAGTCTGATATTCAAAAACGAAAAAATGTTTAAAATAATACAAACTTAGTCCTAAAAAGTACTTAGAGGTTGGAGAAAATACCTTCAAGACGCATCTTCGCGATTTAAGAATTGGAGTTAATTTTAATTGCCTACATCTCTGAAATTAAAGTGTCAATAAGTTCAGATATGCAAATATACAACGCGCAGTCATGTGCAGATCAACAAATAAATATATTCGACTGTTCGTTCCTTAAAGTTTAAAAAACAGTTAACAAAAAACGGTCAAATTAAATTAATTAGTTTGTTTTGATTGAGGTGGAGGTTTAATGTGCATGTTGATTGATGCTGACCTGCCGGGAAGTATGTACTCTTTGAGGGGCCCTCTGGTCGAAATTTGGTAAGATTGAAACATTTTTCGCCCCAATTTTTTTTTTGAAAAATATTTACTTGAATCTATTTAGATTTTGAAAATGTTGTTTGTTTTTAAAAGTCAAAAAACGGTGTTGTTTTGAAGGTTGTTTTTCCGTTGCCATGGTAACCAGTTCAAAACAACCGAATTTTCAAGGCTTAAATGTGAAAGGGAACATTCTCTTCCACGTTCCTGAGTTCCCAAAAATCCCATAGTTCCTTCCAAATTCTTTCAATTTATTTCTTAGGCCTGGATACACAGCTACGAGGAGTTACAATAAACTCTAGCTGAGTCCACACATTTGATCCATGTGTATCAGTTCACAGTTTATAAATTCCATTCTTAACGTGGTAAATTATGCCGAAGCTGGAGAAAAAACATTCTGTTTTAAAGAAAGGTGCTTCATTAAAGCGTTAACCCTTTAAGGGTTCAAAGGTGTTCAAAAGCAAGCGAAAAGAGTGACCAGCGCAGCGAGAGAACAAACTGTAAATGTCACGTTCGTCGGCGAAGATGATGTTGTTACCGAAATGATTCCACCGCCAGCAATCCCGGTTTCTTCGCGAAAATTTGGCGCTTATGCAGTTGATACCTCTTCTTCTGACGAAAGTGTATCAGATGACTTGAAATTTGCTCAAGGATATCGCCTGGTATCAATGGAAAGTCTCAGGAAGTTTGTAAACAGAATACATACTCATGGACCATGTGCCTCAGGAGAGCCTGTTGAAGTTTTTTCACAGTGTAACTTATTATGCCGGGAAATATGAAACCAAATCCATGATCCACTGATTTATCTGGATTTAAACTAGAAAATTAATAGATTGTTTCCTTTAATTTCTCATGTAGGTAAAGCTGAAGTATTAGAGAGCACTGTAAACAGAATGGGGATGAGCACTTCAATCTTTGTCAAGAGTGACTATGGCATGACAGAGTTCCTTGCCACTGATGATCACCCCTCCAAAAATACCACTCCAAGGACAATTCAAGGCAAAGATCTGAATCGATGAATAGTGTATGGTGCATTTGAGATGGGAGTTGGCAAAGTGGGAATTGCCAAGCTGTGTGAAATGCTCAACATGCCATTCAGTATGTCACTCTCAACCTGGTACGACCATGAAAAGGCACTAAGCATGGCCCATGAGGAGGTAAAACAGGAACAACTAGCAAAAAACAGAGCTGAGGCAAGATTGCAGGCTGTACCAGAAGAAGGCATCACTGATGCTAATGATCAAATGATAATTAGTATCCCTGGAAGTTTTGATGGTTCATGGTTAAAACGAGGTTATACTGCTAATAACTGCGTTGGATTTTTTATTTTTGCTGCAACTGGCAGTGTTGGACCTTGAAGTTATTTCAAAAACCTGTGGTATGTGCTCACAAAAGAAGTCTGACTGAAGACCAGTTTGAACAGTGGTACCAGACCCATCATTGTGAAGGCTCTTATAAAGGCTCCAGCCCAAGTACGGAGATGGAATGTGTTAAAAGGATGTGGGGAAGAAGTGAGCAGGACTTTATCAGGTAAAAGTGAATGATTTCTGATGGGGACTCGAAAGTATATAATGCCATATGGAGTATTTATGAAGCCTGAGACACTTGTCACCACTATGAAAATCTGCAAAACAGTGACCAGGAGTGTGTTACCTGGAAAGCTTCAGAAGGTTTTAAGAAGTGGGAAGAGGATTACCTGGCTGGAACTGCAGGCTGTGACAAGGTAATGAAATTGGATTGCATTGGACATGTTCAAAAGCGGCTCGTGAAAGCACTCTACGAATTTCAAAAATCCTCAGTGAAATTGAAGGACGGAAATGTATGGAGGAAATGGAAGACTGACAAAGGCTGCAATTGGAAAACTGAAAAAGAATTTTGGCAAGGCAATTCGTAGCAATGTAAAAAGAGAAATTACAACCACTGAAGAGAGGGACCAAGCTGTGCACGTTATGAAAACTGAGATTCTGGCTGGATTGTTCCATTGCCTGAAGCTGCCTAATAAAGAAAGGCACCAGTCTTGTCCGGCAACTTCACGGTGTAAATACAAGAATGGGCTCCCTTGCCCTAACAAGCCACACCATGATATTCATAAATCGTGATTTAAGATGATAATGTCTTTTCATGTGCACTTGAACCATTTTTTTGATCGTGAACCATTTTTTTTATATTGTGAACCATTTTTTTTGTGATGAACTCCCGACTTTCTTCTGGTTTTGAAAATGTGCGTATCGTTCTCGAACGGCTGTGGCAAGGTTTTGACCAGGGTTTTGACAGGATATGGACTTCATATGGTCGATAAAAGTCATAACACAGAACACTAATGGTTTTTTTAACAAATAAGATAAGACATTACGTCATCTTTTGTCGCGTAAGACTGGTCAAGAATAGAAAAAGGAAAACTTTAATTCTTAAATTTGTTTTTACTGTTTTTGTGTGAAACGTGATCGTCTCAAAAACTCAAAAAGATCATTCGAGATGCATGAAAAGCAAAATATTCTTATGTGACTGAGTTTTACAAAGGGGTTTAGGGGAACGTTCCTCGAGTCTTCCTCGGGTCAGGCTTTTGAGTCGTGATCGACAGTTGATGTAACCCAGTGCTAGGTGACGCTGTCTCGGGCGAACGATAGCGGTCGTACAGCACAATAGGAGTTACCCTCGACGCCGTAAACAGCCGCCTTAACCATACCAGGACTTCCTTTCATGCTTCAAAAATCCTCCTCAAAGAGATATTCGTTCCAGTATGGACAGCACAGACAATGTTTATATCCGCACACACGACTTCAAATTGCTAACTTATATCTTTTTATCTTTTTTAAGCGAACGCATTGTCTCTGGGGAAAGAGACAAAGACCATATTGACTTTTCACTCATAAACTACAAATTAGTCAGTATGTTCCAAGCGTCAGAGGTAATGCTACCTAAAATTAATTCGTAGCAGCTCGAGTTATTCCTTTTATCAAGCCTAAGGCTTCAACCATTCTTCTCTTTTTTCCTCGCGAAGCATTGGGGGATTTGTTACTTCCTTGA